GGAGCCTAGGAACATAGGAGCCTAGGAACATAGGAGCCTAGGAACATAGGAGCCTAGGAACATAGGAGCCTAGGAACATAGGAACATAGGAGCCTAGGAACATAGGAGCCTAGGAACATAGGAACTCTATGTTGTTTTTTTCTTCTAAATGTTTCAGAAGATCAGAAAACTGTTCTTTTTGTAAATCCACAACATGGCTTCACTTTTTATTTAAACGTATCTGTCCTAGTCTTCTGTTCGGTTGTATTCTTTACCTACATGTCCCTGATACACCGTTTCAGATCTTTTTAAATCCCGTCTTAATGTTTCCCAAATGTTTTCGAATATTTTCAGTTTTTTATTAAATCTTTTCCAGATTTCATTTTTTTTGTGATAAAATATTTTCAGAATGTCTTTTTTGTTTTGTTAAAATAATTTAAAAAAACAAAAAACAATTTTTTAAATATATTTTGTAAACCTTTGGAATGTTTTCTTATTCTTTACCTCCACCCTCCCTGATTCACCGCTGTAGATGTTTTTAAATGTTGATGTCCCCTACAGACGGCAGTGGGGAGGAGGGGGTGTGCGAGGCGTCTCACAGCGACAGCATCTTCAGCCGCCTGGAGGAGCTGAGATTCAGACTGGAGCAGCAGATGGGCTTCGAGAAGTTCATCGAGGCCTACAACAAGATCAAGGTGGGGACAACAACAACAACAACAACAACAACATATCATACACATCGACATGAGGATAAACAGACCGGATGATGGTGACTTGTTTGTTTGTTGTTGGTGCAGGCGATCCATGAGGATGAGAACATGGCTGATGATGACTTGTTTGTTTGTTGTTTGCAGTGGCGAGCCGTGACTTTTATACCTAGGCCCTCTGACCCTCACCCCTTCCCTCGGAAAAGAGTTATTGCGTCACAGCGTAGACCTCAGCAGAATATCAAAACAGCGGACCGGGGTGCAAAACGCATCAATGACAGCGACCACACAAAACAACACCTGTAAATAATAGTATTATTTTGAAGGCGAGTTTACGCTGTTGACAGGAAGTTGTCGTTGCTATGGAAACAAGAAAAGCTTCACAGCGGGTGGAGCTTGTCATAAAGTCCGTGATAATAAAACCCACCCATTTAGAGTGAAGATATGATTGGTCAATTGTACTGTCATGTGACATTACTCTCATTGAGTCACTATAGCGGGCCCTCTGTGAATCTACAGAGGAACCAACAAGCTCTCCCGTCTTCACAGTAACTCGCAGAGACGGCTTCTTTCATTTAACCCTTCACATTCCAACAGAAACTGAATAGGCAGATTCGAAGGATTTATTTCTTTGGAAATGTTATTTTAAATACTTAAAGGTGGGCTAGGTACATTTGAGAAACCGGCTCGAGTGAGATAGAATTTGAAAATACACAACCGGAGAAAATCTGCCACTTCCTCACAGAGCCCCTCCCCCAACACACACGAACGTGCATATGACCAATGAGGGCAGAGATGAGTTTGTGCACAGATGGAAGGCTGACAGGCAGGTAGGCCATCCAGTTACTTTAGCCGGCTCAGATGATTGGTCGGGCTTTTTACAGTACGGCTTCCACAGATGAGATTTATTAATGGATTTTTTGTCAAAGCACTTCAGATATTCAGTCATTCGGGATGTTGAGAGCATTCCATGGAATATAACAACAAGTGTATCTCGAGCCGGTTTCTCAAACTGACCCACCCCTCCTTTAAACATAAAAAAAAAAAAGATATTCAATTTAAAAAAAAAATGTTTTTAAATGTTATTTTGTAGAATATCTTAGGCCCTTGTTTGTTTGTTGTTACAGGCGATCCATGAGGACGAGGAGGAGAACATGGCTGATGATGACTTGTTTGTTTGTTTGTTTGTTTGTTGTTTTCAGGCCATCCATGAGGACGAGGAGGAGAACATGGCTGATGATGGTTTGTTTGTTTGTTTGTTTGTTTGTTTGTTGTTTTCAGGCGAACCATGAGGACGAGGATGAGAACATGGCTGATGATGA